AGCATGCCAACAACAACAAGAAAATGATCATCAACCAAACAAACTTGACCTAACCAAGGTTGGAGCCAACGCAGCCGCGGCGTTGGCTCTATCCTCAGTGCTGCTGTCCTCATGGACAGTAGCACCCGATGCCGCAATGGCCGACATTGCAGGACTAACCCCATGCAAAGAATCAAAACAATTCGCTAAACGTGAAAAACAGGCCTTAAAAAAGCTACAATCATCCTTAAAGCTTTACGCGCCTGATAGTGCACCAGCTTTGGCGATCCAAGCTACGATGGAAAAGACCAAGAGAAGGTTTGATAACTATGGAAAGTACGGGCTATTATGTGGGTCAGATGGACTTCCTCATTTGATAGTAAGCGGTGATCAGAGACATTGGGGTGAGTTTATTACTCCCGGTATATTGTTCTTGTATATTGCCGGGTGGATCGGGTGGGTCGGACGGAGTTATTTGATTGCAATTCGTGATGAGAAGAAGCCTACTCAGAAGGAGATCATTATTGATGTTCCTTTGGCTTCAAGACTTCTTTTTAGGGGTTTCAGTTGGCCTGTTGCTGCTTACAGAGAGTTGCTCAATGGTGACCTTATTGACAACAATGTCTAATTTTTAGTATTATTCTTGTTGTTCAATTGAGATATCATATTGTTGTCTGTTTTAATTTTGTGTATGTACTATATTATTATATCGTAAGATACTCTAATTTCAGAACGTTATATATGTGTGTTGGTTTCGTAATTTGTTTCTTGATTCACTCAATTGCTAGCTTATTAATCCGGATTAAAGTATTAGAATTGACATAACTTTTTTGTGCTAGTGTTACAGTTTTATGTTCAATACTAGACCTCTTGTCGGTATGAAATTGTCTCATACTAGAATTTGCCGTTTACTAGATGCATAACTTGTACTAGTACAAAATCGATGTATGGATGGATAAAGCAAGAGTAATGTAAATTGAAAATGATATGTTTAATGTAAACTCAAACATACTGTGAAGCATACCTTAATGCAACTTTAGTTTGTTGTATGTTTAAAAGCTAAAACTAAGCTTAGTAAACTAGTTGAGAAGTCACAATTGAATGTTAATATGCTTGGTTTCATCACTTTGGCTGAGTGAGAATGTGGAATTTGTGGTTTTGTTTCCAAATACAACATGAACATTGTATTCTCCTAAGAAACCAGAGAAGCTATAGGAGCCATATTTATCAGTATTTCCTTGAATTTCCTCTGTTTGCCATTCCTTAAGAAGGCGGTCCACGACATCTCCAGCAGGGAGATTTTGGAAATTGTTGTCTGTCAAGCACATTCTATAGCATCCATCTGGGTTTAAGGCTGTCCACAAAATCATCCCTTTCACTGATGGATGGTAGAAACCTTCTCTCAATACCACTTCTAAATATGTAGACTGCAAAAAAACATCACGTCAAGTGTAATTTACATTATTCTCTCAAGACTTTGACCAACTAAGCTAGATGAAATCGGCATATTGTTATGCTGTGTATATACCTGTGTTTGTTTGTCAAGGGTATTGCTAATATCAATCTCAGTAAGCCAAATGGGAAGCCCGAGTGTGGCCAACTTATCTAAGGTAGCCCTAATAAGCGGCGGATTTGGAACGTGAAATGACCCTCCAACCCAATACCATCCATTACAATTCCACCTAGTTGGAGCCCTCTCAACTTTGCAATGTAAGAATCAACACTTGAGTTCACATCATTGCAAGTCTCCACAACATTGAACTCATTCATGAAAAGGGTTGCTAACGGGTCAGCCTGATGGGCTGTCTTGAAAAATCCCAGTGTTGCATTAGGCCCGAGCTTGTCTTCATAGAATCCATAGTGGAGCATCTCATTGCTAACATCCCAGTGTATGAACTCTCCCTTGTACTTGTCCATCAGGCTTGCTATTCGGGAGTTTACGGCCTGCTCGAGGTCTGAGCCTGTTAGATTTAGTACCCATGATGGTGTGTAGCTTGGGGCTTCCCAAAAGATGTTGTGGCCTCTTGCAATTAGCTTGTTGGACCTAACAAAATCTAGCAGTTTGTCTGGGATAGTGTAGTTTAGTTGCCCTGGTTTAGGTTCTGTTGCATTCCACTTTAGCTCATTCTCAAAAACTGCTGCATTGAATCTCTTTACAAACCATTGCTGCATTGTACTTTGCTCATTAACTTTAACCACATAAAAGAATTCGCGTAGTAAAATGATAACAAATTTGATATGCAGTATAAGATATATACCTGGTAAGGCAAATTTCCTAGGATGTTTTTTGATATAGCTGAACCGAAGGGAAAGTCCTTAGAAACTTGTTGCAAGGTAATTTCTGCTCCTTGCAGCCGATTTCCATATTCATCGGACACATGGATTGTTGCAGCACGCTTTCTAAGCTGAACAGATATGATGGTTAATAATACTCGTATAATTTAACATTATAGCTCCATATAATAGAAGATTAGAAATTGACTTAGTTGAGTGATGCTGTGTACTCTTTGAGAGCAAAACAGAATGGAATGGCAGAGGAATTCCTTACAGATTTTATATTAGTTTGCTGATCTGTTTTCCATTCATCATTTGTAAATGGTTGAAGCGAAGCACTTGAGAGTTCAATCTCAACATTCCCTCCTGAATTCTGATAGACAACATAGTAAAATGTATGTACGAAGTTGTTAAAACCTGTACATGTATAATATAGAAGATAGTTGTAGAATTAATTAGAAGGATAAGAAAGGAAACAAAGTATACCTGAAAATAAAGTGTTGACAATTTAGAAGGTGAAAGTAGTGTAAAGCCACCCTTCAAAAATGACGAGCATCCACTGCTAGCGATGACACTGCCTATGCAGCTGTAATTTTCATTTTCCGATGTTAAGCTTGCCCTTATAAGTGCAGAATCTGCTCCCTTTATCTTAACCCAAACTGTTCTTGATCACAAAACATGTCATGTAACAATGTAAAGTAGATACTGACATCATTACTCTTCTATGCTTCGAATGTTAAAGACTGAAAATTGTTGTTAAGCATCTACAGTACAAATGATCCAATAATTCATTCATTAAATTGCTTTAAACAATGACATTTTGCACTTGGATAATAGATTTTACATTTACAATACATAGATGATCAGTTTTTTTTTTTAAGAATTATTTTATTTTATTTTATTTATTATTATTATTTTATTTTTTAATCATAATATAATTTATTTATTTATCTTTAGGATAGAGATATGAAAACTCAACTGGAAAAGGAGTAGATTGTGGCACCAGGAAGATTATGTAGCAGAAAAGCAGGGGAATGCTCAAATGATCCTCTTGGGACCTCTTGCTGAACATTATCTTTGAGGATTCCTCCCTTGTAGAGAGCTTTCTCAGGGTTTTCCTTGCACTGCAATAACCAATAAATTGAAATCATTCACACATTAGTACAGGAAATATATGTTACAGGGGAAACACGTTGTAACTATTGTAATGAATCATATAATAAGGCTACATACTTTTGAATCATATTAGCCCACACATGTTATGAATACGATTTACAGTTCAAAAATTGGAAAATTACCTCAGAATAAGCCGTGTGATCGTACACAAGACCACCTTAAGAAAAGAAAAAAATTTGTATACATCACAAGAAAACAAAGAGGAAAAAAAAAAACATGATCAGCAACAAAATGCACAAGTAATTAATTGAGCAAGAATGATAGAGTGAATTTGTGACATTAGTGAGAGCAAACCATAAGTTGGTATTATAGCAGCTCCTAAGAGGAAACAGAACAGCATCAAAATTATACAGCGACATTCTTTCATGCTATTTTCCTAGGCCAAAATCTGCTATTATCAGTATATGATTTGCAATGTCCCAACCCGAGAGTAACGAATGAGAGTTGGTATGGGAAATGAAGATAAAGAGATAGTTATGTTGCCTTATAAATTTTGAATCATATAAAGACATCTTGAAATCATCCTTTTCTCCTTGCATTCTGTGAAGATTTTGTCCTCTTTAAACAACTGGGATTTTTAGTCCTATAATATTTTGCCATGTTCAGTTAATCGACCGGCCAAGCACAACGCCCAATTAAGTATTATGACTTTACGACTAATAATTTATTTGCCATTTTTTGGCAACAGTTGTTTATAGCTGCATTATGCTGTAACACTGTAATTTGAATTTGAATATGGGAAGTTTGTGCCAAATAATATAGTCAGAGAAAAGAGCAGAAGGATTTTGTTTAGTTCCTCGATTTTGGTTTCTTTAGTAAGTTGGCCATAAACAATGAAGTACTAGACTATGATTCAGGTGATATGCCGTTACTTAGGGAACATGCAGTGTTTATGTGAAAGTGAGTACAATTGTACTAATATAATATTATCAGTTATGATTATATACTACCCTAAGTGATGTATATAAGCATTAACTAAATTTCCTTAAATGATACTTCTTCAAAAAAAAAATTCCTAAAATGATACTTGTATTTATATTGAAAAGCATAACAAAATCACGTGTTGATCGATGTAATTAATATTGACTGTTGAAATGCCTCAATTTTACGGTACCTATGTGACATGAGCCAAAATGTGATACTTTTAAATTAAAGTTGCCTCTTGATTTCTTAAGAGGTGCCATGTTGCAAGGCCATTGGACCATTTTGAGTAAGAGTGTCGTAGAATTCAAGTTTCTGATTGAAAATTAATGTTAAGGCATGCAGCATGTTTACCTTATGTCTTAAGTTTACTTCCATCATGAACTCAGAGTGATGTAATAATGTACTATAGGAAATAATTGACTATGTTGATGGGTACTTGGGTGTACTGTATAGTAAGGCACATTTTAACAGCGTGAGTGACTAATAATGACGCGAGAGTTTCTCACTTTCTCAACCATTATACAAGGTTATATTCTAACAGTGCCTTGTATGGTTCAAGTGTATCTATTTAGAGCGGTTATGTGGTTTTAAGGGTAGCGCGACTTTAAAGAAGTTGTCTACAAGGGAATAAAAATAAATTCTTATACTTAAGAACTAACAATTTGAAAACAATGAGATTTGATCTAATGTAACACATACAAGTATAGCAAGTAGAATGATAATATTACATGTATACTAGTATATGTTTAGAGTTGAACGTTTATATACCTAGTTTCGTGTCCTCCTGTTAATGAGAATGACAATTTTATAGTTCTATTTTCATACGTAGCCATTATTGTATACTCCCCTAAAAATCCATGAAAGTTAAATGAACCAAGTTGATCAGTAACTCCCTCTACTTTCCCGGTTTGCCATTCTTTCAACAGCTTATCCACGATTTCTCCTGCTGGGAGGTTCTGAAAATTGTTGTCTGTAAGGCACATTTGGTAACATTTTCCCTCAGGATGCAGGGCTGTCCAAAGCATTAAACCTTTTACTGATTGGTGCGAGAATCCTTCTCGCAATACTTGCTCCAAGTATACACCCTGCAAAATGAATAAGATTGACTTAAAAATGCATTTCAATTAACTTCCTTAAGAACACTTCTTAATGCAACAACAATGCTTGGCTTTACCTGTGTTTGTTTGTCAATAGTATGAGATATATCAACTTCAGTGAGCCAAATGGGAAGTCCAAGGGTGCCCAATTTATCTAGGATAGCTCTAATTAAGGGAGGATTAGGAACACTAAAGTGCCCTTCTAGGCCAATTCCATCCATAGTAACTCCTCCTGCTTTAAGCTCCCTTAACCTTCTAACATAATCATCGACAGTCGAATTACCATCATTACAAGTCTCAACCACATTGAACTCATTCATGAACAAGGTGGCCAACGGATCAGCCTGATGAGCCGTCTTGAAGAAATCTAAGGTGGCATTAGGTCCAAGCCGCTGCTCATAGAAATTGAAGTGGAGCATCTCATTGCTGACATCCCAGTGAATGAACTCTTCTCTGAATCTGTTCATCAGGCTTGTTATTCTAGAATTAACAGCCTGTTGAAGGTCCGGCCCCTCAAGTTTTTTCACCCATGCTGGAGTGTAGTCCATATCCTCCCAGAATATGTTGTGGCCTCTTGTAGTTATCTGATTCGCTCTGACAAATTCTAGCATTTGATCAGCTAAGGTGTAGTTGGTTTTTCCTGGTTCTGGTTCTGTTGCATACCACTTTAGCTCATTTTCGAACACTGCTGCATTAAACCTCTTCAAGAACCAACTCTGCTAGAGTAAATGTATATGATTAAGAATCAAGGGATAATCTTTGCTGTCTTTAACTGAATTTTACAAAACAGAACTGATAATTATTGATTAAAACTGAATTTTGGAAATCATTTTATAAGTCGAAGAGAATAAAGCCTAATGAAGGTACAAGTATAACCTGGTAGGGAAGATTTCCAATAATGGTAGCAGCAATGGCTGATCCAATAGGGAAATCTTTGTAGATTTGCTGAATGGTTATTGAAGCTCCTACTAGCCTTTCTCCATGCAAATTCGACACATGAACTGTCACATAACGCTTGCGTTCCTTCAATTATGAAGGCCAAAAGTGTTGATCCATGTTAGTTAGCTTGTTTTCAAAAGTGTTAAATGACTTTTATCAAACTTGAGTAGGTAATTAATAAGCACACAATAAAATTACTCTGTTAATTATGGCTTGTTGATTCAATCTCCACTGCTCTTCACTAAATGGCTGCAAGGATGCACTAGCAACTGATATATTGGTGGATTTTCCATTGTCCTGTAATAAATTAGTTAGAAGGCACAAGTTAAAGGAAGAATTGTTGTTAATTACATGTTTAAAGTAGAATTAAGCAACACCCAAATACCTTAAAATATAGAATTGAAGATTTTGAAGGTGAATCCAGTACAAATCCTCCCTTAAGAAAAGACCAGCATCCTTGCTTTGCTATTACAGTTCCAATACAACTAATTGTTGCATGTTCTGTTTTTAAGCTTGCTCTTATTAGAGTTGAATCAACTCCCTCTATCATTACCCAAGCTGTCATAATATTATGATAGTAACAAATTCAGAAGGTCGGAAAGAAAATTGTCACTGATTCATAAATATCATGATTACTAGAGATGTACTATTTTTCATTGCAGAGTGCTTGTCCTAGTTGACTTTTCACGAATAATAACATAGTACATGTTAGGTAAAATATAAACTTAAGATGTTACTTAGTCATATGACCCAAAACGTTCAATGCTCATGAAATGAGGACTTGTTCATAGTTCATATATACAAACTAGAAAATGACAAAGTGGAAGAGAGAAATTTACCAGATAAGGTGTAGAAAGCAGGGGAGAGATTGTTGATCATGAATGAAGGTATTGATGGATCACTGATGCAACAATTTCTATAGTCTTGTAGGATTCCTCCATTATATAGTGGGTCCTCAGGATATTCTTTGCACTCCATGTAAGGAAAAAATCATATGAAAACTATATCAAGATTAACAACATGAACACAAACTACCTTCATCCGGAATCAGTAGTTACATTACTAGTTCAAATTATACACAATGTACGTGGCAATTACTATAGTATAGATGGAAGGTGTATAAATGAGTAATTTAGATTCACAAGTACTACTAGAAATATGCAATGCACCTCAGTATAAGCAGAAGAATCATAAAGAGGTCCATCTGCCACAAAATATCAACAATGTTAAAAGAAGCTCAATGGTATAGTAAGAAAATGTAAATTTACAAAAACTATATACCAAGTAAATAGAATATAATTACCATAACTATTAGCCAAGAAAAATAAGCCTAGAGCACATAGGAAAATCAAGGTGAAATGCATCTTCAACATCCTTTCTTTCATGTTTTATTCAAAAAAACTTTATTTGTAAGTAAAGATAATGGAGCCAAAGTTTTGGGAGTGGGGGAGTTCACAAGAGAATAGTGGAGATTGGTTAAAAGAGTGGCAAGGTCCTTTATAATGTAAACCAAGCCCGTGTGCTTATTCACATGTGAAGATAGTGAGTAAAGTACCCCCCATGTCTAGAGGGTATGGATGGAGTACAACTTTTGTTAAATTAAGGTAAGACCATTTCACAACATTGGCTTTTGTTGAAATGGTTAGTGAATTTTGTTAGCTTTTCTTCTTTCGTTGTCCCTGAATAACTGTCACATTTGACTTTCATTGCTTTTGAAAATATATACAATATTCCATATCAAAACACATCTACTACGGTACATTTTTTGATGTTTTTCTTTAATTTGTATGGTGTAATAGTATGACCTTTTAAAAGTCAAATGCAATAATTAAATTCAGACATAACGAGTATAAACAGGACCTAGATTATCTATATTAGAGGAAATGATCAACTGATCGAGTTGGATTCTTGTGACACTTAGTATATGATTATGGAGTTGAATAGAGGCCTTAGAGGGGGTTCGTGAACAGTTGAAAGTGGAACTTATTACCCAAACCTTTCTAACTTTTCCTTCCCCATGGGTTTGTTTGTCTCTAGAAAGAGTTAGAAAGTTGTTGGATCCTTTTAAAGTACCAATACAAATTGTTGTTGTATTTCCTATTTCCCTTCATCAACCAGCTTTGATGAAACATGGTACAAACCAATGAACCAATAATGGAGCATCCTAATTCAATATAAATGCACCACATTATCTTGGTTTTGTCTATTGTTAATTTTGTAAGATTTTTTGTTTTTTGATATTTTGCCCATAATAACTCCTTACAATTAAAAGTTGTCTCTAAGAATTAAGAACTATACTTTTTTCTGGTTATCAACCTATTATTATAATCCAATATTTTACAGGTAATTAATACCTGCTTTGAGTATTTGAAGAACCGTGGAATAGTTTAGCCACTGACCTAGAGACTGACAATCAAAGAGCACCCATAAAAACAAAAAGGAGTAACTAATTAAAATATCGAAATGGGTAAATAGTATACACCAAAACACGAAGTATTTTTCTAAAAGCATGTTGTATTGATTCTACATAGTACTCACTCTATACTATCATCTAATTACTTGTGATTTTACATTTTGAATTAACCAATTTTATAGCTTTACATAGATTATGCCAACTTTAAACACCAAAGCAATCTCCTGTCAAAAAAAAAACACCAAAGCAATCACATAGAAATTCTTAATAGTCGAATAGAACATGCATTAATTGATTGTGTTGTTAGTCTTGTTACACTACAAGTTATCTAATAAAAGGCCTAATAAAAATACAAGTCATCCAACAATATCAATACAATATTGGATGTCACAATATATATTAAGACAAGAGAGAAAAAATATCATAAAAGGGACAAAAATTAACTAAGCAATTCCCAAATAAGGTTTGGTCTTGTGAAAAAGTTTCTATCTTACACAACTATGAGGCTGTAGAATGAAATCCCATTAAATGCACTTGGCCTAATCCGTCAACCCAGTTTGAGTGAACCTGGGAGAGGTTTTTGTCTGATATGGTCCTTCTTACCAACCAACCAAAAAAAAAAGTCAATTGAAGATATTATGAAACTATTATAGGATTGTGGAAGGTTTATGGCCTCATTAAGATACTCCGTATATGCTTATAGCAATAGGAACGGCCCATTAGAAGACAAAATTTTAAACTACGATTTTCAGACCATCAGTGACAGGCCACAGGCCCTCTTTTTCCAAATCTTTCCTGCAACAGCAAGCATGTTTTTGCATGCTGCAAAAGCAGACCACCCTATTTGTTAATTCAGATTAGAAAATATTTGCCATTAGTCCATTTGATGGTCAGTCAGACACAACGATCACCCCCTCATACAAGTAAATTTTTACAGCTAAACAAGTGAGATCGAATTCGAATAACTTACTCCCTTGATCCGAAGTTAATAGTCACGTTCATACTCTGGTAGCGTAATCTGAATTAGAGTGTGATGACCTGTTCCGAACAAATGGAGTAAGGCTTAGAACATAGAATTTAATTATCAAAAGAACTCTTATATGATTTGCTATTATAATTGAGTACAGTGTTACAAGTATAAATAAGGTTTGTACAAGTAGAGGAAGCACTCAACTTACAACATATAACACCTAGTACAAAATAATCTTAACTAAGGTTCAAAGTTGCCAAGAATGAAAAAACTGCTGCTTCTAAGCATACACCAGATAAAAATACTCCTACCTTTTTTTTTTCCTTCTGAGGGTGATGGGAGAAAAGATAATTGTTACAGACCCCAACCCTCTTAATTCCCTCTTTGCTAAGCAATATGAAGTTGTCAAAATTGTGTTTTGGGACGTAGAATGTACTGATATTTATTTTTCGTCAACAAACACTGAACATCCACTTCACAGATGACAACCCCACCAGAACCACATGTTGTTCTATTGCCGTCAGCTGCATGCAACAATTAAGAGCTCAGCTCATTTTCCTTTCACCACAGATTTCGATCTTTTGCTAGCAGCAATCGTTTTGTAAAGGACCTTGGTTCTAGAAGCCATCAACACGTCCAAGGCACAACCAATAAGGCAAGCAACACCCATGACCAAGTAGCAGAGTCTATAACAGTGGGCCCCGTAGCACTCATTCCCTCCACTAGGAGTGATGGTAGCCTCCGCATCATAGAGCAAACCAGCAAGAAGTCCCGAGAAAAGGAATGAGCCAAGTGGCAAGTTCAAAATAAGAATGTTGTATATGAGACCATAGTATTTGAGGCCGAAAAGTTCTGAGGCAGTTGGGACGGTGATTGCAAGACGGACACCATAACACAAACCAACTATGACTGCTCCAAAGTATAGGCTCCCGGGGACTGCCATTGCCATAATCACATATCCAACAGCTAGTAAGATTTGTGAGGCTGCATTGAAAAGTGGTCTAGGAGTAGCGGCTTTCCTGCAAAGACATGATTGCATACATAAGATCAATTTTATTCTTGAAGTTGTACAGCTTAGTAAATGTATGTCACCTCTCAGGCTAAAAACCATTATTTGGACTTATAGGAACTTATATACTATACTGGTTTCATTGAAAACTGAATTTGCACCCTTATTAGAGCTTATCAATAATTGATTGAACTTTACTTCATTGAGCCACGCCAATAAAATATAAAAACAAAAATAGAGTACAGTGAGAAATTTCTGTATTCTGTCCCATTGAAAGTTTCTAATTGAAGATTAATCACATGGTCCAAAGAAAACCCTACATGACCAAATCTGAAACTCCATTGTCATAAATCAGCTACGGTGACTACAGAACTGCAAATTACTATTCGTATTTAAATGTGGTCCATAATGTCGAATGAGCCCATTTTGACGATGACAAAAATAAATATCCTCCTACAGCTGTGCCTAAACCGGGGAAAAGTATGAAATCAAACTATGCTACCTCTACAAGACAGATAAATATCACAAACAACAAAGGTACTTGCATAGGTCAATTTCGATATAATAACTTAGTATGTACTCGTAGCAAACAGAGCTTTGAATTTTATAGTTTTTTACTCCGTGCTACTTGAATCTTCCCCAGCTACAGGCAAATTAAAAGATTTTTCTTTTTTGGTTGAACAAACCAAGGTGAACTTTGCAGACTAGTAGGCAACATGTCCGTAAACAAATCAAATATAGTTGCAACTTGCTAGGTATTCCACTAGGTCAAGTCTGCTTCATTAAAAGAAAAAAAAGTTTCATTGCACCCACAGAAAATTTCCATTTCTAATAACAACTATCATGCACTTTGTATTACCAATACTTTTAATACTCTGTTTAAACCAAATTGCTAGCTACAAAACTCTTTGAATAAATTACATTTTTAAAAGAAAAGGACAGCATATTCAGCAAAGATTTTCCAGGACAACAGGATCAATATTTAATTATATAATAATCTAGCATGAAAAACGCGGATCTATTTGACTTTCCCCACTAACCTACCCACAATCAGAATTATGATTATGAACAAAAGTTAATGACAGTAAAAGAAAAAAAAAACAGGAGAATACTTACTTGATACAGTATTCGGAAACTGTTCCAGAGATAATCCTACCAAAAAATCCCATAATGCTAAGTAGAGACACAAAGATTGACACATCCGAGTAGCCAAGAGAAGAACCCATTTGGCCCATATTGTTCATCACAGCCATACCAGGTCCAACTCCACACAAGAACGACACAAACAAAACCCAAAAATCAACTGTCTTTAGTGCCTCAACAATAGTGTGCTCTTCACCTAGGATAGGCTGCAATTTCTTAGCCTCCCCATTTACTTCCTCGGCCACAACATCCTCTTGAATCGGCTGTGATATAGGCACAGCATCCGGGGCTAGTAAGGGCTCTGTACTCGGATCCTCAATATCATCCTTAGCTTTCGAATCCAGCCAGATTTTGAATGCAATATAAGCTGGTATTACCAACGGAAAAGCAAGCAATGCCACTAGAACGACAGAAAAGGTAACATCGAAAATATGCCCTTGTGAACCAACAAAATCATGAGCTAAGAGGTAAACTGCAACAGTAACAGCCACAATATTGAACATATTGAAATACTTTGATTCTTCCGATATGTCCGACTCAGTGGTAGATGGAGGAACCTCCCGGAGGAAGATCATTGCAGTTAAACATACCGCAAGAGGAATAACCGTAAGCATCATGAGGAACGTAGCAGGACTATCAGCAAAAAGTGCACTACAGACATCAGTGAATATAGCAGTGCTTAAACCCACATAACCCTTTAGGATCCCAGAAACAGGTCCCCTATTTTTCCTGAAATTTCGGATACATGTAACTAAAATGGCTGTGTTCATCCATGTTGTGCTGTTTCCTCCCATACACATAATTATACACATCTGCAGCATTCCAAAAATCAATCAACTTCATCAATTTGGATCTCATTAGCCACCACACCACACAAAACTAATTCTATATCAATATTAACTAAATTTGTTAATATCCCACTAGTGAAAAACTTTAAAATTTCAAAATTAATATATTTCTAGTTCCAAAATCAATTCACGTCCCACAAATATCTTTTTTTTCTTTGTTAATTGAGTCAAAACCCCTCCCTACAATCCAATAAAGACCCTTTGGTAGTTAAAAGATCCTCATTATTATCTCTCAAAAGTAAAAACTACAACATATTACTATCAAATCTCGTCTATATCACTACCTTACTAGGCTACTATACCCTTCGCAACTCTCTCTATAACAAGCTAAATACATTTGTTACAAAGACCAACTCAACCAAAAGCTTTTAATGGTTGAAGCCCAAGATCGGATTATATACTCTATCAACCATCAAATCAATAATAGATTCCAATAGACCAATGTAAAAAACTCTCATGCATCACCAAATATAACAAACAAGTATTAGTATAACAAAACTAAACAAACAAATTAAGAAAGAATGCCAAATTACATAACATTACAAGAAAAGACACAAAAAATACCAAAATAAACATGATCCAAAACTTATTTCAAATAAAACAAGAAGAATAAGAAGAACATACAGCCCAATAAGGAAGGGGTGAAATGGTCTTGCTAACAACAAGCCATTGAGCGCCATAACCAACAAGACCCTCAAGAGAACCAATGAGAAGAAGAAGCCAAGTAGGAAAAGTATCAGAAGCAAGCCCAGCAACAAGCCCAAAAGCTTTACCAACATCTTTAGCAACAGATAAATTGTTTAATTGAAGTTGGGTCAAATTCATCAAAGTTTTAACGGCGTCAGAGTAGTTAGAAAAAGTGTAATTGTTGCCTGAAATGGCTTGCACCCAAACGGCCGTTACGAAACCTAACCATTTTAAGGCGGTCGCCATTGATGGACGTTCAGAAGGTAACCCCATTGTTAATGGAGTTAGAAAAACAAGGATAAAAGTCACAGTTTTTATTTATAAAATAAATTTATAAAAAATAAATTAAAACTTTGATTTGAAGAGAGAGAATGAGGTGATGTACTCAAGCGGTTGTGCAAAGGTTGACGCTTTGTTATTGCAAGATTTGCAATTGGTGTCTCATTTTATAATGTTGTATAGAGATTTGTTGGGCCCCACCTTTTTTTATAAAAGTTTTGTTTTTTTCTTTTTGAAAAAGTGTGTCCAATTAATATTGAAGGACAAGAATTCTGGATGAAGGCGGAATTTCATTAAGTTATTGTAAGACGGGTTAAAGTTATGCTAAAAATATTTAAAGTTACTATTTTATACAATAAAAGTTACCATTTTTATAACAAAAATTTTACCCTAAAAAACATTTATAATGTACTCCGTAATAGATTAATCATAGGGTTAAATTTACCATAAAAATTGTTAAAGTTATCCTTAAATTGACCGTTTTATAATAAAATTAATGTGAGTCTGCCTTACACGAGAATTATTGTAAAAAATTTAGAATTTTGAGTTGTACTGTACTTTCTAATTTTTATCGAGAAAATTAAGAAAGTTGAATATATTTTTTTTGTTTTGAAAACAAATCAATTCATTAATAAAAAGACATCCGCATCTACAAATAAAATTAAAATTAACAAATAAATAAAATTGAATCAAATAAGGGTTTCCTTCATCAAAGCTACGATCGTTGAATAGATCTTGTAGTATGGTACATCTCTCGCACATCACTGGAATATACAGCCTTTTCGGAGAGACGATCTAACGATTTGTTATAGCTATAAGCATGTAAGAATGATTTTCATCTAATTCGCTTGAACGTATTTGAAAACTTGACAACCATTGCAATCCCGAACAAATTTTTGCCAACAAACTGATAATAGGGCAAAAGATGATTGCTTTTTTGATAAACCCTAACCCAAATAAAATAAAAATAAAAAATAAAAAAAAACATAAACAAACAACTAAACTAACAAAAACTGACGACTCCACCATAAGGAGACGGAT